GAGTACGCTCTAGCTACAGAGGGCTCACTCCGCACCGATTTTTACGATCAAAACTAATCGCTTTAAATTTTATAAACGTGATGATTTCGTACTCGAAATTAAATATATACGAATATTTATGCAATTGTTTATCGTGTTTCTGGGGGGAAATAACGTGTGTTTATGAGTGCACTTACTTTTTTTTTTCAAACGGAGTGAACCATCTGTTTTTTTTTTTTGAGACGCCTGTTTACGTTGTCATGAAGCATGCGCGCTTCGGGTGCTTCCGGTTTCACCTCAAGGAGCGTGGTAAAGATGGCGGAGCAAAAATCGGTTCCAAGTGATCTTTWCAAATGCGTTTATTCATTTCTGCTGGAGAACAAGTTCACCAAGGCGGCTCAGCTCTTCCTGAAACAGACTAAAGTCGTGAGTATTTTATGTTGTGTGGTCGCGAGGCAGTTGTTAGTGCTGTCTGCTTCCAGTTGTGCACGAGTTAGAGTCACGTTCAAGGAACGTGGAGCTCAAGGTAAATTAGCACGTGTRGTTGCACCGGCTCTGAATTAGCTGYTAGYGAACAAGTCGWTCTTRTGTGTTATATTCATAACARTTTATATTACTTGTTGGATTAATTGACTTATGTCATTTCAATTGCTGAACAAAATGTGTTTTTCTGCAGAATCCACAGGATCAAAATGAAGAAAGCCTCGTCAACATTTACAACTTCTGGGTGAAGTCAGTTCCATTCCCTCCTTATCTGACATGTATCAGAGCTGAAGTTTTACTTCAAAATCAGAGTGAAGTTTTGAACAAAAATGATGAACCACCCCTTATTTTTTAATTACATTTTAAGTGGTCTTGTGCAACAGCTCTGAGAGTTTCTGATCATTTTTTAACTAAAACATTGATTTTGTTTTTCATTTGGGCAGGTTTCATAGTGAACGTATGTGTGTGTGTGTGTATATATATATGTGTGTATATATATGTATATATATGTATGTATATATATATATATACGTATATATATGCATATATATGTATGTATGTATATAGATAGATAGTCCTTAGACTTGTTAAAATAATTTATTTTACTTTCTTGTCATTTAGTTCCATTTATGTGCAGATTTCAATAAAGTGCTGCACCTGCTTATTATTATTTAGCTTATCATAGATTAGGAGTGGTTCAATTTATGTCAGATTAGTAGATCTGTAAAAAGAAACATTTTTATGCAAAAATGTGGAAGTTTTTAGCTGTAACTCCTAAATCTGTTTGATGTAAGCAGACTTTTTGTTTTTCAACTCAGATTTACTTGTACATACAGTATGCCTCTTCTTTATTCTTTARGACTTTTTATTTTACATTTATTGTTCACTTGATGTACTTTTACAGTCTCAAACTTTCAGCATCATGTAGTTTTACTGTGATGATCTATTTTGGACAAATGAAAATATTTACCCTGTTGCTTCTTTTCCTCAAATCGTTCTGTTTGCTTCATTCTGCCTTGATGTTTGAGGAAATGTGGGCTGTATTTAATAAAATAACCCTTGGGTTTAATCTGAATAGCGTCTTAGCAGTAATAGAGTTCACTTTACTTGTAAAGGTCTCCTGAGGCCAAGAAAAGGAAAGCACCTCCTAATGAGCCCGGAGCTGTCGACGGTCCGGCAGCCAAGAAGGCGAAAGCAGGAAGCTCCAGCAGCGAAGAGTCGAGTGACTCTGAGGGGGAGAAGGCGCCTGCAAAGGTGAGCGTGAACACCAAAACTAAACATTCATTCCAGATTTAGTTATTGCTGCAAGCTGGTTTATATCCAGTTAATAAAATGTTTCAGAGCGCCGTTAAGGGACCCGTTGTTGCTGCAGCTGCTGGCRGCACGAGGAAGAAAGACAGCAGCTCCAGCAGTGAAGAATCCGACTCTGAAGACGAACAGCCTGCCAAAGCTGCACCAAGTAAGCCTCAAGTCACTAACTTAAACTTATCAACTGAAATGAGTTTATGTACTTTACAATTACAATCTAATAACAGAAGCCAGCCCAGGTGCCGTCACACCCAAAGCAGCTGTTCCCTCCAAAGGCGCAGCTCAGAAGAAGCAGGAGAGCAGCAGCAGCAGCGAAGACAGCTCCTCAGATTCAGAAGATGAGCAACCAGCCAAGGTAAATTATTATCTGTATTTTAAATCACCTCACATAAAATCAATAGTTTTAAATGTGTAAATGTAAACAGGTATTTGTTTACTTTTTATTGTTTGTGTCAGGCTGTAGCCAAACCTGCTGCGGTGAAGAAGGTTCCTGCTGCTGCTGCTGAATCCAGCAGTGAAGACTCCTCATCTGAGGATGAAGCTCCGCCCAGCAAAAAACCAAAAGCAGGTATGTTTTTTTTTTTTAGATCTGAGCTAATGAGTTTGTAATTTGAACACAAAGCAGGAATTATGKTTTTAAGGCACAGATTTCGATGCTTAACAGCAGCTTGTGTCTTGTTAGGAGCGTACAGCGCAGTCCCACCTCCTGCTTCAATCCAGAAAGCTCCAGCTGCCAGTAAGGCCAGAGACTCCTCAGACAGCAGCAAGGAAAAGAAGAAAGTAGATGGTGAGATTGTCCCACAGTTCTCATCTCTCTGTAATGAAAGTTGTCTTTAATTTGATGCCTAACGATATYAAAACCGTTGCAGCAAAATCTGCAGCCGCAAAGAAAACGAATGCAAAACCTGCCGAGTCCAAACCTGCAGCAAAGAAGCCAGAGTCCAGCTCTGAGAGTTCTGGTAAAAACATGATCCCTGTCACACACACACCCCCGTTTAAAACTAATTTAAATAGTTTATAAACAGCTTTATTCGTTTTTTCATAATGACAGATTCAAGCTCGGAAGAAGAGGCCAAAAAGCCTGCAGCTAAAACAGCAGCTAAAGTCACAGCAGCTAAAACAGTCCAAGCTAAAGCAGCACCRGCTGCAAAAGACGACTCGGATGAAGACTCGTCCAGTTCAGAGGAGGAGGAGGAGGAGGTGAAGAAACCTGCAGCCAAGGTGACCCCTGCTAAAGCTGCTCCTGCTAAATCTCCTGCACCTCCTGCTAAAGCTGCTCCACCTAAACCTCCTGCAACCAAAAAAGCTAAAAAAGACTCCTCGTCCTCATCGGAGGATTCCAGCTCAGAGGAGGAAGAGAAGAAGGTAAAGACGCCCGCAGCTAAACCTGCACCGGCCAAGACGACTCCAGCTCAGAAAGACGAGTCCTCCAGCTCAGGTAAGAGACACCTGAAGACTTGTTTCTCCTAAAGTTGTAATTGTGTCTAATGTGTGTGACCCTGCTGCTCTGTTCCTGCACAATAGGTGGGATAATTTCTGATCTTTTAAAACGACTCGATCATATTTTCTTTACTTGCCTCATTTTATTATTGCTATAAACTTATTGTTGAAAACTGTGGAAGACCAAAACTGACATAATTAGAAATAAAAGCAGAAATATATAAATGGATCAATAAATAAATAAATACATTTAAAAAGCATAAATTAAATTACAAAAGGTGAACTTTACCTCATGTTTTATAATTTAATTGACATTCATTTTTATTTTCCCAGCTTAGTTCCAATAAATTATTTATTTTAGAACATAATTTATACTTTACTGTTATAATATATGTATATATATATTTTTCATTATCCTTAAATTTCAGTTTAAAACGTAGAGGTAATTGTTTTCCTCCTTGTCTTTTTTTTAAACTAAACTTTAGTCTAAACTGAGGCGGCACAAGCATGCACATGGCTTCTGCTGCTTCCTGTCTATTGACCAATAGAAAAGGAGCAGACCCAAGAAGCTCCACCCACCTTATTTTCACAATGAGGCAGAAATGCATGGAAATGAAGACTTGTGGGGGAAAAACATTATTAAATATAATAATTTAAGAGACAAATGCATCTACACGTAAAAGGAAAATTTTATATATATATATATATATATAATGTAAACTATTTGCTAAAATATTATTTATTGGAACTAAGCTGGAAAAATAAATATGGTCAATTAAATAATAAAACATGGTAAAGTTCTCCTTTTTTAAATTGAATTGGTGCATTTTAAGTGTATTTATTTATTTATTGGTCCATTTCTATATTTCTGCTTTTATTTCTAATTGAGTCAGTTTCGGTCCTCCATAGAAAACTGGTCCACGTGTTTCTCAACTGCCCACTGTTTRTCATCCACAATTCAGAAAGCAGCTCTGAAGATGAGGCTCCAGCAAAACCCATAACTAAATCTGCAACCCCAAAAACCCCGGCTGCTGCCTCTAAACCTCCAGCGAAGGCAGCCGAGAGCTCGGAGTCAGAGGACTCGTCTGAGGATGAGGAGGAACCAGCAAAACCCAAACCAGCTGCTAAAACAGCTCCTGCTGCGACAAAACCGGCTGTTAAAGCTGCAACAAAGCCTGCAGCAGCCGAGAGCAGCTCAGACTCCGAGTCCTCCTCTGAAGAGGAGACTGTTAAAGCCAAGCCACCTGCAGCTAAAGCAGCCACTCCAGCATCAAAGCCTGTTGCTGCAAAAGGAAAGTCTGCTGCAGCTGAAAGCAGCTCCGACTCCGATTCGTCTTCAGAAGAAGAGCAGCCAGCCAAGTCCAAGCCAGCTCCCGCAAAAACAGCTAAACCAGCTGCAAAACCTGCAGCAGAGAGCAGCTCAGACTCCGACTCCTCATCAGAAGACGAAGAACCTGTTAAAGCAAAACCTGCAGTTTCTAAAGCGGCTACACCGGCCTCAAAGTCCACTACGCCCGCYAAGACAAAGTCCCCAGCAGTAAAATCTACCACGCCGTCTTCAAAGCCCGCTACTCCTGCAGCTAAAGCAGCAGAGAGCAGCTCGGAGTCTGACTCCTCTTCTGAAGACGAAGAACCCGCAAAACCTGCAGCCGCTAAAGCAGCAACACCGGCCTCAAAGCCTGCAGGGAAACCCACCACGCCTGCAGGGAAACCCACCACGCCTGCAGGGAAACCCACCACGCCTGCAGGGAAACCCGCCACGCCTGCAGGGAAACCTGCCACGCCTGCAGGGAAACCCGCCACGCCTGCAGGGAAAGCTGCAGCAGCAGAAAGCAGCTCTGAATCAGACAGCTCAGACTCTGAGGATGAAGCAGCCAAGAAACCTGCAGCTCCTGCAGCCAAGAAGGGAACTGCAGCATCAGGAAAAAAGGCCAAAGAGAGCAGCTCCGAGTCTTCAGACAGCTCTGAATCAGAGGCGGAGGCTGCTCCTGCTAAACCCGCAGCCCCCAACAGTAAAGCAGCAACTCCTAAGACAGCAGTGAAGCCTGCAGCAAAGCCCGCRGAGTCTTCATCGTCCAGCGAGAGCAGCTCTGAGGAAGAGGAGGCGGCCGGTCAGACCAAGAAAAAAGCTGCTGCACCAGCTGTAGCAGCCAAGACGACCCCAGCAGCTAAAAAGAAGGAGGAGAGCAGCAGCTCCTCAGAGAGTTCCTCAGAGGAGGAAGGAAAACCTCAGAAAGCAGCCACTGCACCCTGCACCCCCACAACAAACAGTAMGTTTAACACACATGACGACACTGTTAATTTAAAACGAGCTTTATTGTACTCAAATAATATATATTTTTTATTATTTTTAATTAACTCCTGCAGGTGCTAATGGAAAGAGGAAAAAAGATGAGTCATCAGAAGAAGAGGAGACAGAGAAGAAGACCCCTAAACAAAAGAAAGTGACCACAACACCACAGACCTTCCCTAAAACCAACAAGGTAGGAAACATGTACACTTACAGGTGATGCCCTGTGGAGGACTGACACTGTCAGAAATATATAAATGGACCAATAAATAAAATCAATTAAATTAAAAAAGAAGAACTTTACCTCATGTTTTATGATTGACTTGATCTTATTTATTTTTCCAGCTTAGTTCCAATAAATTATATATTTTAGCACATAATTTACATTTTACAGTTTTTAAATATATATTTTATATAGTTTTTCCTTTTTTCAACATGCATTTGTGTCTCTTAATTTTTTTTCCTAAACATCCTTATTTCCATGTGTTGCTTTTACATTTCTGTTTTTACTTTACCTTAAGCGTTAATGCCTCATTATGTAAATAAGGTGGGCGGAGCTTCTTGGGTCAGCTCCTTTCCTATTAGTCAACAAGCAGGVAGGAGCAGAGACCATGTGCAGGTCTACTCAGTTTAGCTTAAAGTTTAGTTTAAAACAAAGACACAGGTATATGTTTTCCTTCTTGCCTTTGTTTTAAACTAAAATTTACATTTTAAGCTATTTATATATTTGATTTTATTTCTAATTATGACGGTTTCGGCCCTCCACAGATGGCTGCTTAATGAGTTTAAAATCAGTTTGGAGGGGAGCCGTTTGGTTGATTTAACTTTTTTATTTTAGTCGTCCAATATACCTTTCAGAAGAGTAGTGGAGGAGTACGTAGAGGTGGACCCCCGTCTTGCTGATAACTCGTTTGAAGCTAAGGTGAGTCAGGGTCCGATTCTGGACACGAGTCAGAGGTTTTATTTATTTTGTTTAAACTCTTTGTTGTCTTGATTCCAGTCTGGGTCGAACGGAGACTGGGGACAGAAAGCCAACCAGGTGCTCAAGTTCACCAAGGGCAAATCATTTCGTCACGAGAAGACGAAGAAGAAGAGGGGGAGCTACAGAGGCGGAGCCATTTCCACCACCATCAACTCTGTGAAGTTTGACAGCGACTGAAGACCCTCCCACCTTTTTACTGTATTTGACTTGTGATCAGGAAACAGGTGTTCCTTCAGCTTCCTGTTAACGGTCCGATATCACCACCCTGCAGCAGAACAAGACCTGAGCCAGGGATGGAACTGAAGCGGTTTGTTTTTTCATCATCTGTAGRGGAGAGCCTTTCTTTGATCTGTGACCTCAGGCAGGTGTTTCCAGCTGTGACATCGGCTCTTTATGTGACAAATTAACTTATAGCCACTAGGTGGCTGCAGGACACCAAGTAATGGAGAAGTTTGGTTTTTTTTTTTTTTTTTGTTTGTGTACTTATTTCCTCAAAATTGGTATCAATTGAATTAATGTAACTTTAATTTTCCTTTTCACTAATTCAGAACCACAGCCATCAATCATTGTAAAATTAATTTAAATATTAGGTTTTGCATGAATCTTAATGCAATTTGTTTATTTTTGGGCCACATTTAGGTTTAAAAGAATTTGGGTTTTTTTTTCTTATTAATACATTAAATATATAAAATGAAACAGTTTTATACTGTGTATTTATAAAGTTTTATTGTTTTAAGATTTAGGGTCATGCAAATGTATGTTTTTCATGTGTGATGTTGAGCCTCCTTAATCTGTTCTTTTAGTTTGAATTTACTTCATACACTTCTGTGTACCTCTTTTTTATTTCTACATTAAAGACTTTAAATTTTGTCGTGTTGGTGTCTTCAGTTTTTAATTTAAGCAGATTCAGACTAGTTTGTCCTTAAGTGAAGTTATTTCCAAGCCTCTGACTTTCATTCTATCTTAATAATTTTTCTAAGAAAACAAAATGCAACTTGATTGAGAAGTTTTCCACTAAATGTTCAACTGACACTTGAGCTGTCTGAAATTTTCTAACATTTTGCAAAACAAACACTTCTTAACACCCACAACTGCTGTTAGCTTCAGTTTTCTCTTCCTCAAAGTTATATTTTAGTTCAAAATATTATTCTCAAAAGATGAAAAGAATTCTTAATACCAGGCATTAAAAACTATAAAAAAATCAAATGTGACCAAATAATTTTAAAGAGAGATCTGACAGACTTAGTGAAACTGGTGATGCTTACTTTTCTGTCTTGGCAGTCAGGGAGTAAGAGATGTGTTACCATGGTGACCATCATGAGCCACTGGTAAAAAGCACCGCCTATTTTACACAAAGCTGCCTGGAGCTCAGTCTACAGCTGAGCACCCCTCCCCTGAAGCACTGCTGTGAAGACGTGCTGAAGTGGGAGTGTCAGAAACAGTAGGAGGTTCTACATATGGCTACGATGCAAAGTCTAATTTATTTTTAACATATACAGCATTTTCATAAAAACTGAAGGAAGCATAGTTACATGATTGTGTTATAGTATATTGTTTTACAAAGATTTTTTTTCTGCTGCCTTTCATTGTATTTGTGATTTTTTTTCTTTAAAATAAATTGATAAACTTTATAATAAACTTATACTTTCTAAATTGACAAGTGGGTGGAGATCWTGGATTTTGTATTTGCATTTAGATTTTGTTAAACAATTGTTCTYGGTATGCATGTTTTAGTTGTGAATGTTTAAAAAAATTGCTGAATTTTAGCCCCTTGCAAAATTAGCATTAGCGGTTAGCTTAATTTGGAATTTGAATTGAGAATTGGTATGTGATCCTGATTAGCTACTCAACAAATTTCATCTCAATAAGTCATAAAATGGCTTAATTATAGGATTTTGAAGTTAGCTGTGGCGGCCATCTTGGATTTTTCAAACTTAGGCTGTGTCCAAAACGGCAGGACGGGTCCTCCTTAGGACCCGGCCTGTCGTTTTGGACACAGCCTTAGAGTGCTTTTCTTTATTTGTTTGTGCCCTCTAAGACAGTGGTTCCCAAAATTTTTATCTTATGACCCAAAAAATATCCATGGCAAAATTTTGTGACCCCAAATATTACTGGTCTGAGTACACAAACTTTAATAACCCTAAAAACACAGGCTTTCTGACAACCTAAACAGCTTGTACACAAATACAAATACTTATTTATAATTTTTTGTGCATTTTTGTAATAGTTATAGGGAAAACATTACATTAGCAATTATTTTATTACCCGTTAAATTGATTTATGGAGATTATCCAAGGTGCTTCATGACCCATAAT